AACAAACAGCAAACAGCAAACAGCCAACAGCAAACAGCAAACAACAAACAACAAACAACAACTAACAACTAACAACTAACAACTAACAACTAACAACTACAACAGCTACCACTACTACTAGTACTAGTACTAGTACTACTACCACTACCACTACCACCACCACTACTACTGCTACTGCTGCTGCTGCTGCTGATACTACTACTACTACTACTACTACTATTGCTGCTGCTGCTACTGCTGCTACTACTACTACTACTGCAACTACTACTACTACTACTACTACTACATTACACAACACTACGCGCTACACTACGCTACAACTACATGAGACGACAACTACAACTACAACTACACTACCTCACACAGACTACACTAGACTCCACTACAGTACGCTACACGACATTACGCTACATTACTTTACAACTACAACCACAACTACAGCTACAACTGCACGACATTAATTACACTACGGCTACAACTCCACTACACTACAGCTACAACTACAGCTGCACTACACCACACAACATCCAGCAGTTGTGGGTGAGGTGACCACTGCAACCATTGCAACCATTCCAAAAAAAACAACTCCAACCACCTTTCGGTCCATCAGTGGATTCGCTCCACCATCCGGGATTCACAACAACCAACCTCTCCTATAGGTTACCTATTTTTGAAACTTCCGCCACCGCCTTGTGCGGTACTACTGGTATATATTACTATATAATATCTAACCATTATATGATATGTATTCACTTGTTTGCCAGCAAATCCCGGTCTCAAGTCCCAAGTAGCAGGAGTGGTAAAATGAAAATGCGACCATTGCCAAGGCTTCGGACAGTCCACGGAGAAGGTTGCCTTTTTGCTGTTCCGTAAGCCATTGCGACTTGTTGCGCTGAGGAAATTTCCACAATTTTCAAGATCTTTCAAAGGCTGGGGACGCCAACAGAGGTGCGCTCAGTTTGAATTTGACTGTTGGATTGAGATACGGATTGCAGCAACTCAATACATTTCGCCGATCGAGATTGAGTTCCTACCATGAACATAAACGAAACCATTTTGAGTTGAAACAGAGAATAGTTTGGCTTTCATTTCTTTGATCTCACCTTGTGCTCAGCAAATGTGGCCGGAAATCACGAAGCTGCCGTACTTCAAGCATGGAACCCAGCACTCGATTGCACGCGGTTTTATTCAAACACGCTGGTGTTGGTGCATTTGGCCACAAGATATCACAAGCGTCCATTCCAAATAGAAAGTGGTTTGGTAGTATTGTCACCGGTAACTAGATGATTCATGATAATTATATTGATTTTGTTGCTAAAGGTTTTTTCACTTTTTTCATTTTTTTCTTCTGGATCCCAAGGCCGACCTTTCCGCAATGGCCCGCACACAGCTGGGCGCAGATTCGAAATACTTTGCAGCAGGCAGCCGGTTGCCATGGCACAACGTTTGAAAAGGACCCCATTTTCAGATATTTTCACACAGGCCACCAGACAAATCTTTACATACGCACATATGAACACATTATGTATCTGTTATATTATGTACAAGAAAACACATGTAATTATTATGTCTACCAATCACTGGATTTTTCAGCGAATGTGGTGCTTAAATCTTCAGGTGGGTTCGGATGGTGCAGACCTTCTCGACAAGCTCACCTACTACGACCCACGACGGTGCCGTGTCCGATCGGTTCTACAATGAAATCGTTTAAGGAGGGAATTCCCTAAATGGATCCCATTATATAAAATAGTCGGTTAATTATAGAATCTCAAATCTTGTAAATGGATCCCAAGTAATTATGTGTAAATCCTCTAAACCATGGTTTCTGCGGGGTGTTTAGCATTAGGGGAGAGGGACTAGGCACAAATCACTCACAAATAATTGCGAGCCGTTACTTCATGGAATTGAGCTTATGCTGTGGTACGGTGTTGTATGCATGGTGGGCGATCCCTCATGTCTTTGCCACGCATCTTAAGATTGGGTTTTTCCGGACTTCGCACATTTTTCACCAAAGGTCGTTTTTCTCTTAAATGTCCCGACCTGAGAACTTTCTTCAGGCGAATCAGTGCATTCCGGGCCCTCCAGCATCCGCCTGGAAGCTCAGATTCTGTGGAATTTGCTGTTCGATGTCCCTCTTGACTTCATCAAAGCCAGGTACTTCAGGGATGTTGATCCGAGAGACTACGATGCCTGAATGCTTCGAGCTCCGCATGCGCTGCTAAGGCCCCCCCATTCAAAATATGCAAAATGACAATCCGGTCCGTAAGTGGAGCGCTATACAGGGAACCGAATGTACGGGTTTTGACATGTCTTGAATTGTCTTGAACTGTTTTTGGACGCCGGTCAAAAATTATCCGACAAAAGCATCCTGCGCTGCACAGGTGCCCTTGAAGCCGATTCGAAGAGGCTTTCACCTGTTAGAGGAGCCAACTTGGCTCCGTTGAAGTTCAAAGATCAAGTGCTGATGTCACATGATATGCAATAAAATTGGACTACTCAAGCAGAATGTTTTTGAATGGACGACAGAACTAGTTCGCCGCTCCTAGCATGCTGCAAAGCAGCACTGCCATGATGGATAGCATTTTATTTGCACCTGCTTGACATTGGTTGACTTTGCCAATTTTGCCATGGGTTTTGCTTTCTAAGCTGGTAGCAGATGTGCAAATGAAGAAAAATATAGCAAAACAAATTCGATGCAATGTAAAGGTAGGCCTAGATGAAACTTTCTCTCCGCCCGGCGCAATTCGATGCAGAATTCGTTCAGCCTGGAACTTATCTGAAAGATTCGGTAAAACATACAAGAACCAAACCAGCTGGTCAATATTGATCAAACATTAATCAAAGAAATGCTAGTTTGAAATCTCCTTGATAGCCAAGTGGGAAATCCAATATTTCTGCAAGAAAACCAGGCTGTACAAAACAATGTCCAATCATTAATCGTTCTGTGACTTCGACCAATAAGCAAGGGGGAAAACACGCAATTCAAATAATAATTCAATTTCCTAATATAAATATATTTCATAATATTTATTTTTTATTCTACGCTTAATGAATTAATATATGAAAAAAGCAGTTTTAAATTATGAATGACTACTCATATTACGATCTGGCTGTACACAGAGCGTGCGCGCAGTTTCCCGAGTTAAAATTTCCCAAACAAATGCCATAATTTTGGGACTTTCACGAAGACATCTTAAGTCTGTGCGAATACAAACTTAGACTGTACTTCCTGAGCCCCCTGCGCGGAGGCCGAAAATTCACTACTTTTTTGGGAAAACCCCTCTTCTCCCCAGTCAATGTACCTACCACTAGGCAAATGCAGCACGGTCGGTCGCGGACGGTCGGGGGCTCGATTCCCCTATAGGTCCGTCCCGACCCCTGCGAGCTATTGCCCTTGCTTGCCTAACTTCTGCGCTATTGTTTCTGAGCTCTTTCTAACACGCACCTCTGCGAGACTGCCCGCTTGCTGCGCCCGCCTTCTACCGCACACACTGTGCTTGCTTCCTGAGCCTGTGAGCGCTGTTTTGGGGAGCTTCTGCGGCTTTTGGTAGCAACTTTGGAGGGCAGCTTTGGGGAACAACTGTGGCGAGCAACTTTGCGGCTTTGCAGCAGCATTGACGAACACTTGCTTTGAAGAACGGCAGCTTTGGGGAGTAGCAACTTTTGGAAGCAGCTTTCGGCAACAACTTTAGGGGCGAGCTTTAGCAGCTCTGGGAAGCAGCTATTCGGAGCAGCTTTCGATAACAACTTTGGAGAGCGGCTTTGGGGAACAGCTTTGTGGAGCAGCTTTGGGGAGCAGCTTTGGGAAGCAGGAGCAGCTTTGAGGAGCAGCTTTGCGCGGCAGCTTCGAACAGCAGCTTTGAAAAACCGCAGCTTTGGGGAGCAGCTTTGGAGACTAGCTTTAGAACGCAACTTTGAGGTGCAGCTTTCGGTAGCAACTTTGCGGGGCAGCTTTCGGGAGCCGCTTTGGAGAATAGCTTTGGGGAGCAGCAGCTTTGGGGCAACCGCTTTGCGGCGGTGCTTTGGGGAACAGCTTTGGGAAGCAGCTGCGGGGTGGGGAGTAGCTTTGTGGAGCAGCTCTGGGGAGCAGGAGCAGCTTTGAGGAGCATTCTTGCCACGGCAACTTTGAACAGCAGCTTTGAAGAACGGCAGCTTTGGGGATTAGCTTTAGAACGCAACTTTGGGGGGCAGCTTTCGGTAGCAACTTTGCGGAGCAGCTTTCGGGAGCCACTTTGGAGAATAGCTTTGGGGAGCCGCTTTGGGGAACAGGTTTGAAGCAGAGCCGCTTTGGGGCAGCCGCTTTGCAGAGATGCTTTGGGGAACAGCTTTGGGAAGCAGCTTCGGGGTACCGGGGGCAGCTTTGGCCGACTTTCCAGAACAACTTTTCCGAACAATTATTGTTTTGAAGAACAGCAGCTTTGGGGAGCAGCTTTCGGGGGCAGCTTTACAGACAACTTCGGAGAGCAGCTTTCGGTAGCAACTTTGGGGCGCAGCTTTCGGGAGCCGCTTTGCCGAATGGCTTTGGGGAGCCGTTTTGGTGAACAGGTTTGCGGAATCGCAGCTTTGGGGCAACTGCTTTGGGGCACAACTTTGGGGAGCAGCGCCGGGGGACAACTTTGGGGAGCAGCTTTGGGGAGCAATTTTGGGGAGCAGCTTCGTACAGCTTTCCGGACCAACTTTGAAGCAACTTCAGGGAGAAATTTTCGAAATTGAGGCTTCTTTGGGATGCGGCTCTGGCTATCTTTGGGTAGCATTTTTGAAGAACAACTTTGGGGACCAATTTTGCGACTTTGTAGCAGCATTGACGAACAATTACTTTGAAGAACGATAATTTGTGGGAATAGCTTTAATTAATAACTTTGCAAGGCAGCTTTCAGAAACAATTTTCGGAGGCAACTTTAGGAACTTGGGGAAATAACTATTCAATTATTCGGAGTAGCTTTCGATAATAACTTTGGGGAGTGGCTTTGAGGAACAACTTTGTGGAACGGGGAGTAATTTTGAGGAGCAGGTTTGCATAACAATTTTTAAAACAATATTTTTGGGGAATAATTTCGGATATTATTTTATTACTATGTGTGGAGCGACTTTTTATAATAATTTCTAGTTTGAAAAATAATTTTGGGAAATTATTTTGAAATATAATTTTGGTAATTTTTTAAAATTAATTTTATTTTAAAGGATAAGAATATTTGGATATACTTATAAGGAATTTTGAACCGTATTTTTTGGAAAAATATTTGACGAATTATTTTTGGATATATTTTTGGAATAATTTTGGGATTTTGGAAAATAATTCTGGTATTGGGGATTAATTTTGGAAAATAAAAAATTGATGAATTCTTTTTTGGAATAATTAAATTATATAATTATATCCGGAATAATAATAATAATTTATTTTAGAAATAAATATTTTATTTTATAATGAAATATTTATTTATATTATATTTTGAGATTGATATTTATTATATAATATTTTTTAAAAAAATTATAATTATTAAATATTTTATAAAATTTTGATTCTTATAAATGATAATTTATTATAATTTATATATTATTCCCAAACGCTCATGTTAGTATTGGAACCCTCAGAATGCCTTGGTCCCTCGGGGAAAGAATGGTGAGGGCCTATGAGGGCCTCTAAGGTATTCAGGACCCTCAAATACCCTCAAAGATCACTGGTTTGGATGTGTTTTGGATCCTGGGACGGTTGGTTGACCGCAGCACCTTTTTTTCATCGGCCTCCCTGAGCGTTCTATTGGGGCGAACGTCCGGGCACCAAGTCACCAAAGAGATCACAGCTTGTTCAACTCTAGGTGTACCAAACATAGATACCTTTCCAAAGTCCTTCGCGACACATTCCCTTTGTGGGTTGCCCTTGCGATGCGACCTAGTCGCCCCACCCAGTCCTCCGCAGCCAACAATTGAGACATACGCGGGTTGATCCGCTCACGCCTTGTCACCTTCGCGTGATGGTAGTAGTGATGATGCTTTGTAAGCAAGTACCACATTGTGCGGCCGGGATCTCTCCCCCTGGCATTTCTGCTCTTGGTGTGAAGAGCAGCATAGCTAAGAAGGTGTAGATTCACTGATTGGTAATATGACTCGGCCTCCTCCTCCGTCAAGACAAGACCTGTTGTGTCCATCTTTCGCAGAGCGCTCGCGTATGCATGTAGGCAAGTAGACACCATGCGATCCAAGTCTGTGGCCCGTTGACGCGAAGCAAACTCCACACAGCAGTTAGCAATCCAAAAAGTCACAACTTTGGATGGAATGCCTTTGCTCGAAAGCACGGGATAGTTCATCCTAGTCTTCCTCCCCAAACGAGCGGGTGTGAATCTGGGCTGCGAAACCACCAGCCTGTGCTGCTTTTTCCAATTCAGAAAATGTACATGAGCTTGGCGTAGCACCACTGCTAGGGCATCTTGGTACAAACCGTTTGGAAAGTTCCCCCAGTATCCCCTTTTAGCCAAATAGATGATGGCACTGCCATTCACAGTTTTCCCAGTACCAAGCAGCTGCGAATGCAAGCAGTCATGTAGAACTCTATCCAGCGAAATGCCCAATGAAAAAATCACAGAACCTTGACGCAAACATTTTTGAAAGTGAAAACACTATGCAACGCATTGCAATTCCAATTGTATCATTTGTAAGGTGGGCAAATGAAAAAGAATTCAAAGGATAAGTCTTATACGCCTAGATGCGGTTTTGATGGAACTCGCTTAGGTCAGGTAAGCTTGATGCATGAGCAGCGTTTTCGCGAAAATCAGCAAGTGTCATACCAGGGTCTTCAGACTTTTTCACGCAACCACAAGTTGAACAAAAGGCATTAGCCCTGTAGTTGTGGAGCCCGTACACATCCCTGAGAAATTTGAGATCCCCTTGAATGGAGGATAGCAAAAAGATATAGCCATCGGATGACCAGTCATGAAGTACTGTTGGGTCCACCATACCTCGCACCCGGTCCACCACAGGTTTCATGATATCATCGTAAGTGTGTTCTGTGGCAGCATATTCTGGATATATAGCAATTGGAAAATACCTTGTAAGCGATGAGTTTCCATATGCAAAGTCCGAGCACCACCCAAGCACTGTAATTTGCCCAGTTTCAGAACCTCTGTAAGCCGCAATACCATCACCATAGAAACTCATGGGGATGATCTTGTCCATCACTGGGTAGTCATGACATGGGCTACCTTTGAACCAGTCACATGTATTTTTGCAGTGGTTCCAGAAATTTCGGACTTCATCCGGAGTATGTTTTCCAAACATTGTGTGATACCAGACTTTCTTTCCTCTGGCATACAGAGCATTCGCCATATCATCCGGGTATATCACAGAAACCTCTTGCCATTGAATTGATGCTGAAGCATGGCAATAGAATCGAGCTGGAACACTGTGGATTTTGACCCCCAGGCGTTTCGATAGAGACTTCAATAATATATGGAAGTCCCTTTCAGCATTTTGGGTATGTTTGCCGCTTGTACCCACCAAAGAGATACGATGCACTAAATCAGTTTTTTGTACAGTCCCACCGGATTGTTTGCACCACTGAAGTGCAGAAGCAGCTGTTTGTTGAACCTGGGCAACACCCCAATCTTTTTGGTCTAAGGACAGGGGGAACATCATAATCAACAGTTGTATACGGGATGGTTCATTGATAATCTTTGTAGAGCTCAGGGTTTGTCCCATGAAAAGCAAGTTCATTTGAACCCAAAATCCAAGGTCCTATCCCGAGGGGAAAAAACATCAAAACTTGAAACTACCCATCCATGATTGAATCCTGGGTTGTTACATGGATTATATAATATACATCCAAAATATGGATAATATGTGGATAAATTATCAATTTGTTGTAAAATTTGGTGATAAAAAATCAAAACAAGTAACTCTGGTCGCGCTGGCTTTGCCAGATGCGAAATCATCCACCAAAAGGTCTTGAAATTCTGGAAGTTGTTTGGGAGGGGCTCCCCTTGCTTTTGCAGCCAAGATATGTGGTTCCTCATGCGGTGTCAATCGAGGTCGCTTGGATGGCTGCTCCTGTGCCGGAAAGTGACACGAGGCTTGGGAAAAGGGACCTGGGTCGAACATTCCAAGATTGATTCAGTGGGTTGATATATCTTTGAACATTGCACTAGACTTGCTAATTTTTTCAACATAAGCGATACGATGTTTGATCAAAGATTCTTAAAACGGAAATATCCCCTAGGTAGTGTCCTTTGCACCATCATTCTTCGATGATGTAGCTGTAGTAATGTCACGTCGTCTTTGGAGTCCTGGCTATGGGGAATCTAGATGAATTTATTTAGTCGAAAAATGATAGATGGCTTTCCATTTCCAACTGAACAAAGTCGTCAATGAAATCTTCAATTTGTTCCCCTTTGCGCAAGATGTCACCATATTCTGGCATGGTAAAGCTAACGCACAGCATTGCTGCCACAGGGACTCTGGTCCAGCTGTGACATCCATCCCCTAAGTTGGCCCCTTAAGAGCATTGATTAGACAAGACCATCAGTTTTGAAAAGAAAACTTGGTCACTCAGAAAAGAGATTGGCGTCATGTCTTTGACGACTGGAAACGTGCTCCATCACTTGGCCCCGCTCGAGGTGCCCTTCGCTTTGTCCTGGAAATTGCGTGGGACCCAGTGCAGTGGACTGGATGGAGCAGGAATTGCTGTGAATGGAACTGGACCAAGGCATCTGGAGGGTTCCAATACTAACATGAGCGTTTGGGATATATATATATATATTACTGTATATATTGATGGGTTGGATATTGAACTAACATGTTGGAATCTAAAATCATGTTGGAACTAACAACTAATAGCGTATGGAACTGACAACTAACATGTTGGCATCATGATGGCAACGATCCCCAGGTGTAAAATCATGTTTCCATAGATGGGCGTACCCGGTATATATACCAAAAAAATGGTAAAACACAACTGTATCAGTATGAGGTGGATGTTTCTTGTTGTCACCAGATTGGATGCAGTTATGGCCCTTTACAGTTATAAGTAGTTTCATAATGATCTATAACCTGAGTTATAGGAGATATATTTCCATTTATAACTGTTAAGGGCCATAACTGTGGATTTTGTTTTGGGGGAAACCGTCCTTTGACCCCGACGAACGCGTTGGCTTCGTCAGAGTATTGGCCTCACCAGCATCCTCCTGGTAGAGCTGCATGCGCTGGAGTGCCAGCGTGGTAGCTGCGGTCAACTGGTCCACCTCCGAAGGATCAATTTCCTCGCGGGATATGAGAATATGGGTTATTATGGTGGCTATTTCATGTAATATGCTCCATAGCTTCGGGATTTTCTGGATCGACATATATATGAAATTATAAAGGGTATCTCCAACTCGAACAGTCATACATTGTCACCCAAGTGGGGGTCACAAACTTCTCGGGTTCTCCTTGTTCACAGTCATGCGTGTGAGCTGGATGAATGAACGTTCCAGCTCATCCGCATGCCCCTGGAAGCTTTTGCCTTAGTAAGCAAACATGGGAACACATGTATTATGTACATATTAAGCATGGGAAAGGAACTAGATAATCAATAATATGGGATAAATTTGAAATATTGCCATGTACCTAATTTTATCCAAATTAATTGATGGGGTGAGTAATGAGGCAAGCTACTCAATGCCTCCTGGTGCTTCAAGTGCGCCAGTTTCACGGGCCACATGCGCGCCCCCTGAAGGTCCCCGGACAACTTATTCAAAATCCACAGGGCACGAGGGCGAAGTTCATCAGGCATTTCATTCCTGAACACCACCAAAAGAGTAGATGTGGCATTTCACCATGACCAAATGGAAATACATTCGCTTTGGACTCATTTTTTCAACACAGATATTGTAATATTTGATCTAGATATCTCAGGGATCTTGATCTATGTTTGACATTTGTTTGATTAATCCAAGAATCTTCCTCCTCCCGGCACCCTCCCCGGCTGACTTTGGCTTCGGCTTGGCTGCGGCCTTGGGCTTTCCCTGAGGACCTTCAGCCGATGGCGCAGCCACGCTTCTGTCGGGAGTCACAGCACCACCCTCCGACTTGGGCAGCTGCAAGCTGTGTAGGCGAAGGGGTTCACACATGATGCCACCCCCAAATGCATTCAACTCAGTCTCTGATGCAAACCGTTCAGCCTAGCCAGGGGTCACACAGTAGAATGAATCATCATCATGGGATCCCGTATGCAATTGAAAACTGGTGTATTTTTCTTCATGAAATGAATGGTATTTTTTGTCAAGCTAATCACCATCAAACATGTTGAGCACCTGCTCACCGGTGGCTTCACCAGAAACCGAAAGATCCACACGATCTTCATGTTCGTCCTCATCAACCCGTTCCATGTCCAACAAGACATAAAACAACGTAGCATTTGCATCTCCCGGGCTGTCAGGGTGCTCTTTGAACTCCGAGTTCCGGGTCTTCATATCAATGATACGATTCACTGTTTGCTCATCATTGTGCATAGCCATGAGCTGCGCACGGGTCTTCCAGCCTTGGCATGACAGTCTTGGTATCAAATGATAGCGATGCATATTTCCATCATGCCTACATGAAACATATATAGTGATCATCATGATATATATAATATATATGTATGTTTTACATATACATGCATACATCCTGTTTCATTGTGGTCCTGCAGTTCGATTTAGGAGTGTTCCAGTGGTTCCCCAAAAAAAATGCCACCGGTGGACCTCTCATGGCTGCCTAAGGTTTGGACCATAGCGCTTTCGCCCAATGGTTCTGTCAGTGCGGCTCCTGGTGGCCTTGATGGACAGCCTTGGTGGAGTGGCAGAATCAAAGTAACCATAACCAAGAGGGATCTGGGGAGACCACTTGATTGACCATGTTTCCACATATTTTTTTGACATATAGATGAGAGCCCCGTACCCGTAAAACCACCAAGAAACTTTGACCAGTCTTTTCCAGCTTTCAAGAAAGACTGGAAAACAGCATTCTTTGCAGCACGACTCCTGCTCTGAACAGCTTGCTTCCATGATGCCACAATTTCATCGGGGATGCTGTAGTTTTCACTTGCATCCAGCTGCCTTGCATCAAGGGGAAATCAAATGGGAACTCAAATTAAAATATGGTGAATTAAATCAAAATTATGCGAAGAATCCATGGGGAAATGAACTGGAGAAATCAAAATAACGAAGCATCTATTGGGAAATCAAATCATACAGTGATAGAGTTGTCAACTCAATATCAAAGCTGGGTTTCAGGTTGTGGGTTCATATATTTTCACAGACAGTATGATTGTAATACCCCCCTACACCTGTGAAATGATTCGGTCCTAGGTATATTAATATTAAATGCATGAGGTCCACCCGTTACAGGCCTCTTCATTTGAGCATAGTGAGCCTGTCGCTCTTTGTAGCCTTCAAATGTGACTTCTGCACCAACCTCAAACAGAATGGAAGCTGATTTTGGAGCTAGATTTGATTTCTTTTTAAATCTAAACTATGTTCAAGAAGGGTGATGGAATTTGATCCATGTTTTCTTTAATGTTTTTATGTTCATCAATGCCACTAAGAAACGGGGGCTGAAATGTGGATCTGGCTGGCTAGCTGCGAAGCTGGGATCATGCCATTGCTGGCTGGTGCTGCTGGAAGGGGGCTAGCTGCTGGCTTTGGGCTTGCACTTGCTGGTGGCGGTAAGGCCAATGACCCAGGCGGCACAGCTGCTGGCACATGTGGGGCTGCTGCATGTTTGGCAGGCGGAGGCACAGGCAATGTGGTTGCCGTTGCTGGTGTTGCTCTGGCAGGGGCTGGAGGCAAGGGCATGGCTGCTGGTGCTGCTTGTGGTGGTGCTGCTGCTGATGCTTTCATAGGCGGTGCAGGGGCCAAAGTCAAAGGCTTCAGCACTGGCATTTTTGCTGCAGGCTTGAGTATCGAAGTGGTTGCTTTGGCAGGTGCTGCGGTGTCAGGCAGGCTGTGTACAGTGACATTCTGTGTAAATGTCACTTGTTTGGGCTTCTTTGCAACTGCAACTGATGCTGTCTCCTCAGGATTGGGGTCTGGGAGTGCGTTCTCAACACACGGCCTCGAAGGGTCTTCTAGCCACATGAGCCAAGACACAAGCTCTTCCTCTTCATCATCAGCCCCAAATCTGGGGATATCCTCATCACCACCGACACCAAAGATCTCATCCCGTCTCCAAAGCTCGAACTGTGGAAACAGGCTATGTCTTTCTGCTTTTTGAATGGAACGAGTGATCTCCACATCATCCATTTTACAGACCCATGCTCGAACCCTCTCTTCTCGCTGAATATCGGTTTCGGTTGTCTTCCCATCATCAGGTGTTGGGGTTGGAGCCGGGCACGTTGCTGGCGTAGGGGCAGTGCTGTGATCATCAGGGCTTGGGGTGTTGGCCTTTGCCAATGCTGCCGTGGTGCTGGAAGGTGAAATGGCTTTGGCTGAGGTGGGTGAGGCTTTGGCTGAGGATGGGGATGGAGCGGTTGACTCTGTGCTTGTGGGTGATGTGGGTGATGTGGGACGTGAGGCTTTGGCTGAAGTGTCAAGGGCCAGGCTGGCACTGGGTGGCAGAGTATCTTCACGTTGCTCTACCTTCATGCTTGGCCGTGCTTTCTGCTTTCTCAGAGCTGCTGCTGCTGTGTTTTGTGTTGGTCTGACCTCCATTTTCACCCCTGCTTTGGACATGGGCACTGGGACTCCATGGACATTCACGTAAGCTGGTGTTCCTGGCGATGGTTCGGTCTCGGGACAAGCTGGTGGTGATGCTTTGGGCGGTGGGGGTCGCAAGACCATGGCGGCATGGGCTGCCACAGGCGGCGGGGCTGCCAATGGATTGGCCAATGGGGTGGCAGGAGGTCTGCCTGTTCCCTTCACTGCACATGCCTTTTCAGTTTTTGTTTTCTTTAAGGGAGCCTCAGGTGGCGGCATCATGCTATCAGGCACCGGGGGCGCTGAGCATTTGGCTTTCTTGTTCACACTGGGGCTTGGAGCGGGCGAGGGTCGTTCAGGCTTTGCTGGCACAGGTGTCATGACTGGGCTTGCTTTGGCGCAGCTGCTTGGGGATGCTGTAGTGGAAACGGTCTCTGCACTGAGTGGGGAAACTGACCTAAGATACAGAAAATATCAGACATGTAAAATGAGTAGATTGTTGTGAAATGAAGGTAGTTGTAAAAAGTAAAATGAATTTGTGGTGAATTGATGATGAATTGGTGGTTGGATTTCATACCAAGCGGCTCCATCAACTTCATTGCAGGATCATCTCGAGGTGAAAAATCCAAATTGGTAGGCCAAAGGATATCTGTCACCTGCATGGGGCACTGTGGGAGACCCATTCACTTTTGCAACACAAGGTTTGGTACACCTACCTGGATTATATCAACAAGAATCGGCACCTGGGACTCTGATGCAGCGACCGTGGTGGCTTGGGAATCTTCCTGCATGGGTGTTTTTTCTATGTTTGTTCCCCTACATCAATCAATGAAAGAAGGGCTGGCCATATTTTCATAGATACAGTTTGCAGGTACCCACTTGAACTATCCACTGATTATTCAACCTAGTTATGGAACATCATATACTGTATATATAGACCATGTTCGATAGATAAAGAACCAGCGGGGTAAGTTGGAACAATCCCCACACCAAAATGTCCTCCACAGGGCTGAATCCAGCGGGAGATGTCATCGATCGCGTCGCTGGTGGCGTGTGGAATGCCTCCAGCTTTTCAATTTACAAAATACCAATTACTTACACATTCATTGATGCCCATGCAATGATCATGGAAGGGTTGATTTATGATTACAATCTCGCCTGGGAAGCTCCAGGAAAACGTCGAAAGAACGCTTTCTTATCAGAAGCAGTGCAAGGGCTGAAGCTAACAGACCTGTTGTGGTCCTGGGAATCACATTTAAACAACACACGTCCCCCAATGGAAGGGATATGAAGGGGTGCAAACAAATGACACATCAAAAGTGTTTTCGGTCCTCCACCATCTTCCCAAGATTGCTCACCATGTTTTCTCAGGTCTACTTCGACCAAAATGGAGCGGCTGGGAGACCAAGATCAGACAGGGTGAAAAGTGGTACCCCCAAAAAAACTTATCTGACGGTATTTGATGGTATCTGACGGTATCTGATGGTATCTGATGCCATCTCACGGTAACCTATTTGGAAATTAGATGCAATTTCTATCTGACGCTATCTGACGCTATCTGACGGCTGGTCCCTCGCGAAAGTAAGGATTCGAGGGACCGCCAGGGACCCATCCGATGCTATCTGACGCTATCCGACGGGCTATCTTTCCAAATGGTGGTGGTCCCCTGTATCTGATGGTATCTGACGCTATCTGACGGTATGTTTTGGATGGCCCCCGGTGATGATATCTGACGCTATCTGACGGTATGTTTGGATTCCATTCCCCACATGCCCGGTTTGTTCAACGCTTTCTGGAACACTCATCAACAGATAACCTGTGGAGAGCACCCAAGATTACCGATGAACCATTGGAAACATTTTTTTAAAGCAGCTATCATTTTATAGAGCTCATTTTCATTAAAACATTGGGTTGCCTTCATAATATGAAAAATAATCTCATCCCAATAATCTCATCCCAAAACTACGGATGGAAGAAATCCTGCACCAGTGTAGATGGGTTGTCCATGATTATACTAGTAACGTATAATCCCATATTTAGAAAAGGTATCATATATGGCATCTCACTGGAGCAGGCTTTCTTCCGTCCATAGTTTTTCTAAAACCCGTTCGGGATACCCTTCAAAGATAGGATGCACAAACATACCCTACATCCCATGTGCTGTCCCTGCATTTTTCTTGGGCACGAATGTGCGATTGTCCCCCCACATTTATCAACATGGGAGCTAATTGAGCACAGGGGCGCCAAGTGCACATTGAATTGTGGCCACCAACATGGTCAATTGGTAGGACCCAGCGCTAGGATCACACAAATCCACCCTAGCTATAGAGATTCACGTCGTGATTTGCTACGACGCTCATTCAAATAAGTTTCCAACCAAGACATCACATGTTCTAGGTTAGCGTCATCCCAAGTATCCTTCTCATGGTTCACCATTGGTTCCACTGGTGCAGAAGTGGACATCAGGTTCTGCGGAGGAGCCGCTGGATTGTGGAGAGGAAGCCAGGCATCTCGCACCTTGGTGATTGCGCTGGCTGGGCGAACTGCTAGTGCAGTGCTGGGCAATGTCCTGTCCACATGTGGTTCACCTGTGCCTGAAACTACTGACTTCTAGGGTTTGTTCCACATGAAGAACATCAACCATGTTGCCGGAGAATAGCATGGATCTACTTGGAACAACCAGTGATGTTGCCTTTACCATGAATGCTAGCATTGACTAATAACTCATAGATCCCGAATCACCCCCAAACCCCAAGGATTTGACCAAAATGTCTCCATGTGTTGGCAGCCCAAGCGCTGCACGGGCAAATCGAATGGGATACGCTTGGCTCTCTTTAAGCCGTTGGCCACCCTTGAAGCGACGCCTTCCCCGGCGATCAGTGTAGTGAATCACCAAGCCTCGTCGTCCAATATACCGGCGACGTCGCAGTCTCCTGCGGCCGTTAGGTAATTAGGGTATTCAAAATATGTAATTATCATGTGGAACATATATTATCCTTCACCCAATATGTATATATTCTGCATTTATTGGGTTGTGGTTCATTCATGGGGGCCATGTACACATTATTCCCCATCCTTGAATTATATGAATATAGGTGGCTCTGCTACTGCGTTGAAACCAGGAAAGTCCTTCGTAGTGGTTCAATAAAATTGGAATTAGACCACAGCCGAATAGGTTTTGGAGTTCCAGATCCATATTCACCAAGCCATGTGAAGGTCGAGCTGATGCCAACATTTGCAAATAGTTTGGCCAGTCGTGGATGGAAAGGTAACTCAGTGGAGGTTGGGCATCAAGAATCAAATCATTAAGCCTTAAGCGTAGTAAACTTTGACAAACATATCATGTACATTGTGGCACAATTAAGATTCAAACCAATGATGTCATCGGATTCTCAATGACAAACTTTCCACCGACGTGCAAGATGGCGTAGCAGAGCAACGCGCACTTAGATGCGCAACTGGTGACCCCACAAAAGTGAACACCACACCGTTACGGAATGTTACGGACATGTTAAGAAAGGATTGCAAAATAACCCCAGGGCTTTTGTATACCAATCTCATGAATCTCCAAAACCACCATTATAATGATACATATTTGGGATCCCAGTGAAACTCCATAAAACCAATTTCCAGAATCCAGATAGCCCTAGCAGAATCATGCAGTTGATACGAACCCAACATGTTCATCACCTCCTGATGTTGCTGTGCAAGCATCTCGTGAAACCAAGGTATTAGCCAATCCTGCGGACTTCTCATTCCTTGGCAAATGCAAGGAGTGTGGGCCCCAACTGGGATCATTGGAGAAGGGTTCCAACAGGTATGCAAGTCATTTTGGATATCATCAGACCCCCTAGTTATATGTGGTCATGTGTTCATGCATGGAATTGTTCAATTGGTCTCCTTTCATTGGGGTTTTGAAAGCTTTTACGATCCAGAATTTAACCTATAATTTACATTTCCCAGAACTGCACCCCCAAGAAACAATGATTTTGTTTCTTCAAGGTTCCGGTATGCAATAAGAAGTACCACAACTATATTGGTCGATTCAAAACACTTGGGTTGTTAAATTCCATTCATGTACCCACTAATTGCAAGTGAGTTTCGATCCAAGAGGACAGTCTTTTGAGCGATGACTTGTTCCTCCTCAGAGCGGGCAAGTACTTCAAAGACTAATGTTTGATTGGGTTTTGATTTTACATATGATGTCGATGAGAAATACGTGAACTGTACATTGATCATACATTACAGGGTGGATGGTGTCTTCATATATAATAAACATCGATAGTTTTTTTTTGTTGGTGGGGAGGGGCACCTCTCAACTGATCCTGTTCTTTAAATATCCATTGGCAATCCAACCCCAAAATGGGAATTCCTTTGTGAATCAAGTGTGAGTCAAGACCAGCAATATGGATGCCTTACCAATGTCCAAAAAAGAATAGACATCAAAAAATCATTTTGACCCACAACAGTCAACTATGTTTGTTCAAACTTGGCTCTTGGGCGAGTTGCGATTTATGGTGATCCAAGTGGAACAAGGAATCCCCATGACCACCAGTCCAGTCGTTGCGAGCTGTAACACCGCCAGCAAATGGCGACAGAATCCTTTGGGCTCCAGTATGTCCTTAGGTATCCAGGGGATGAGCACAAACCAAAGGTAAAGTAGAGAGGCCCAGAGACATAAGGTTAAACCTAACATCCATATAATCTTGTAAATACAAGGGTCGTCAGCTTCATCTCTGGAGATATCAAGAGTACACACCTTGTGGCCAATCTCTGTAAAGGCCTTTGAAATTCGAGCACGTCCAGCGAACATGTCAATGCAAGTGAACTTGCCCGGAGTGTGCACAAATGCCTGTCATGGGAACAGATTTTGAAGTCCCATGGATGTCACAGAACTCGTGTAACCTACGGTAACCCCAAACCATCGAAACTTAGACTTTAGCTTTCAGGATTGTTAGGATTTCCCTTATTGGAAACTTTCATATCACCCCCATTCTCAAGGAATTAGGTCGTACATGTACAGTATATGTATGGCCATACAATATTACCTTCTAACTCTAGGCATGGGATAAAATATTCTACGTAGGCATGGGGTTATTTAAATGTTATATAGTTCTAAAATGGGGATCCCCCAAACCGTAGGTTTCAATCATACTCAAATGGCACCATTTTAGAAATTAAAACCATGGATATATTTTTAACCCCCAACTCTAGGACCTGCCCAAGTAAAGCCATCAAGCACCACAGCCGGAAAGGCATTCCAAGCGGGTGAGTGGGCCCATCTGGGATCCTGCGAGGGATCATCACTGGGAGCCGCTCTTCCTCTTCATCCATAGCATGCCTTAGTTTGAATATGTTTGAACACATGTTTTGCAGATATCCCATAATTACCCATATGGGTGCCCTTTTTTAGGTTTAAACCGGTTACTTTACAGGTGAAAAAAGGGCACCTTATTTTGAGAGATACTAACCCAAATGGAGCGATCACAGACCATAAACTTTTAATCAGGTAAGGTTGTGTTAGGTTCAGTCCAGTTGCGCCCTCTTTGATTGGGACATGATGTGGGCCGGCGCTGCTCTTGGGACCAAAACACTGCTGAGGCTGGCTGGATCCCACCACCAACTTGTGACTCTACATCTTCAAGTTTTACGAGGCACCGCAGCTGGTTGCAAAACAAGCCGGTTGCTAGAAACAAATTGAATATAGTCAAATACAATTGATGCATGGTTCATTTTCGAAGACCACGTCGCATCCCCTCAGACTCTTGCAATGATCGCACTTTGCGATTGCAATGCGAAGTACGTATAGTATCAATTAAAAGTTGGGCCACGCAACCACAGCTGTCTCATGCAGTCAATGGTCAAAAATCTTTATATACTAATCAAATGTCACATAATGTTGCGTATGAAAAAATATATAGATATATACAAGTTTTGGGGGACTCATAATCTTTCAATGAGACACGCCGTGGCAAGTCCTCATTTTTTGATCATGAAGATCTTACATGGGTTCCTGTTCCATTTGGACACCCCGGGGCTTTGCTCGAAAAATGCCACACAGGCCATTGACGGTACCATGAGTTTTGAAATGGTCAACCGCTTTGCCACCTTGGCGCTTTGCCAAGGCAATGTCTCCTGGAGACAAAGCCAGACTTCGTCTGTAAGCGCTGGAGTAGATGTGGTTGTGTGTCACATGTGGGGGAGGGATACGCTCCTCCTCATTGGCTGCTGGTGCCTTGGGTGCTCTCGGCTTCCTTTTCGGCTTGGGTTCACTGACCTCAGGGACTTCAGCGACATCAGCAACCTCTGCCTGGGGGGCTGCCTTCGCTTTCGACCTGGGAGCTGCTTTCCTTTTGGGACTTGCTTTCTGCTTGGGTGCTGCTGCCTTCCTCTTGGGCGTTGCCTTGCTCTTAGCATTTGCACCTCGACCTCTGGGCTTTGCGGCCTTTGACCTAGGTGGTGCCTTTGACCTAGGTGCAGCCTTTGCCTTTGCCTTTGCTCTGCCTCGTGATTTTCCTTCTGCTTTCTCTGGCTGTGCTTTTCGACCCTTACGTTTCCCAGCAGCTTCACCCTGAGTTGAAAATTCTGGGGGATCCATGCTCTCCACCTCTTTGTGCACCTCTGCCATATAGGATGCCGCACTCGGCAAAGGATACTTGGATGCTTCTGCACTGCCCTCCTGCCAGGTGCCACAAAGGACAAGCTGAACGCTTGGATGACGCCGTGACCCAAACTTGGATTGTGTAGAGTCTGCATGGAAGATTTGTGGTATCAGGTGCGGGACATATTCCAAACCATCCACAAAACAACACAATGATCATGGGATACAAAATGGAAATATCTGGTTATATAATGTTATAGATTGATGCCAGGCGTGACATGGCAACAGAAACAACAGTCCTTGTCCAGCAAGGCAGCAGGTGCAGAAGCGACGTCCTGCAACAGTATTGGGTTTCATGGTTTACTTAAACATGTTGAAATTCCATGGTTTCATTTTTTGTAAGCCAACCATGGATCACATATTTTAGACCACCACGGTGTTTGAGAAACAACGGTAAAGATGCAATTGTTCTGAAGCCAAAAAATGCAGTATGAATTTGATTCTACATGTGTAATGATCACTTGTACTATATCTAGACCCTTTCTTAAACTTTATTTAGGGTATTCAAGGTTAGTATACGTACGTTATATATATTATATTTTTATAATTTATATATATGATATATTTATATATAGTCTATATATATAAACATAGTGTATATATATATGTAGTCTATATATATATATTATATCCCAGAGGCTCTGCAGGCTCTCATACTGAAGGTCTGGGCTCTTGCAGCAATCGTCTAGATCCCTTATGTGATTTACCCGTCACAAGCAGCGCAAAGGCTTGCACCTTGGGCGAGTCAATGCCACAGCGTGACTCAGAGGCTGGCTTCTCAGCCGGGGCGATGTCATCAACCATCATGTCTTCAGCCTCAACTTGGAGGGATACAACTAGGACACAGGGTTCGATAGGAAAAAATGGAAAACCATTCAGACTTCAGACACGTTTTTATAAACCATTATAAACCTCTATAAACCAAGAAACTTGGTCATCGTTCCCAAGATCATCATCAAGAAATTCCGGGGGACCACAATCTCCAGTTGTTTCAACAACATCGGGAGCCCCAGGGCTGTCCACCATGACTGGTTCACTGATCAACGGCCGTAGGCGGCGATAGGTTTTGGCTGGCAACGGAGACTTTTCACCCCCCTCTACACCATTTTCATTGACATGGTCCATGTAATATTGAATCATGCTGGCTGCAGCTGCTTCTGTAGCTACATCATCGATCTCAGTAGGAATGTCATCCATCGGGTGGCGCTGAGCTCTACAAAAATCACATACATACCAATCTTCATAGAACTCTGGTTGAGTATCAGGGTGTTCAATCCTGTCACAAAAGCAGCCTTTGACCGGAGTGTCTTCCAAAAGGATAATCTCGGGATCTTCGGAACATTCCAGTTCAGTCGGCATGGGGCTGCTTTCCATTGGCACAGCAGGGCAAATATCCATGGGATACCCAGACTCAACAGGAGGCAAGGTCTTTTCAACCCCCAAAGAAATGTCATCAAGCATCATTGGTGGGGCCTCTGGTGCCAAAGGCTCTGAAATCATGGGCTCTAAGTTGATCTCCCGGACATCATCTTTCTGGCCATCACCATCCCCCATGTCCTCATTGGTCTCGCCTGAGCTGACTAGTGGTTTGGTTTCCTTATGTTTCCTTTATATTTTGATATGAACCCATAGTTTAATGTTGGCAAACTGGTAGAAAATAAGAGGTTTGTTCATTGGGGCTCCAACTACAGGTGAGCTCTCCATCGGAAACCTCCCAAACCTCCGTCGCCGGGTTCCGAGGTTTGCTCTTTGCTGCCCTCTTACAGGTGGGCCGGGCTTTTCGCTCATTGGGCTTCATGACGGCTTGGAGCATGGCGGCCACCTCATTCAGTGGATGGAACCCAAGTAGGCATGCCCAAAGAATTGGCTCACATGTTTTGAGAAGGGACCACAAAATTGGATAGCAACTAGATCTATAGCCAATTCAAGATCTGCAAAGATAGGACTTGACCATGTATAGGGCACATGATAAGGAGCTAAATCCCGACAAATTCCAAGACTTGGACATTATATAAGAAACTAGATTAGTTTATCAATTTGATAAGGGTTCTTAACACCAAACCATGGGATTGACAGGAATGTATGTATGCATGGCACCTAAACACTTGGGAGGGGAAACACCAGGGCACCCCATTTGATCTTTCCAAGTTACTTCTGTGACATGGGATCGGGCCAGCGAGCGTCGCCAGTACCGACGGGCATATGAGAGCACATTGAAGAGAGCACAGCTTTCTTGTGTTGGAAGAAAGTGATGAACAAAGACCTTGTTGTTTCATGACTCATGACCCAGTTTCAAGACATCACTAGTTAGGTACCTATCCAAACATAAATTCCAAATTACTTGTTGGCCTTACACATCTACTACGTGTGTATAACATTTTTTGTGTTGAAATTGGGCCCTACTATTCCATCACCAATCCACTGTGTGCTGCCCAAGACTCACTATTCGCCCAGTTAGCCCGATCTTTCAAAAACCTCGCTTGGCTCAAATTGAACCGGTTCTGCTTGTCAAGCTCACTGAAGACTTGCGACAGGAAAGCCGAAGTATATTCTCCTGAGATGGAGGGCCCGGATCCAAGGTCTATTGAGTCGATGCGAATGACAGGATATGACAGGTAAATGGGGCAACAGTAGGGTAACCATCTGAAGTGCTTTGTTCAGATTGCTAAGTATCCAATCGATTGTTTTAGTCCAGTACCGATGACAACACATACTCCCACTAATCATGACAAGAAACCCTCAGGGCTGGCTTCAAACAACCTCAAAATGAGGGGAAGGTAGAACTCCATCGTACTCATCCCAACCCGAACTGGGTTTACATTTGGAAAAAGGGTATTTGAAGGCGGATCCGTCTTGGCGCACTCAAGAAAAGTGGTTCCCGGCAAGGTCAGCTTCAAGATGCCTGGGCTGAAACATACTGAGGCATGCTGGGGCTGTCATGGGACCATGGAACTGCCATAGCATCCCAAACGTAAATTTGACTAATGACACCAGACCTGAATCAAAAATCTAAATGTCGCTCAGGTACTTATGACATCTTCCACTTTATTGACGGTACCCATGGCTCACGGCACTGATGTCTCCCTGCCCCCTTTGAGCACAAAATGCGCTCTAGGCCAAAGGTTTGTGAGATTTGAGAAATTGCCCAATGCAAGCGATCTTTGTTTGACATGTGCCACTACCACATCAATACTCTTACTTTTCAACTTCCCTTGGCACCCCCCAGTCCTCTCAATGCTGCCCCGCGAGGCATTCAACAACGGCCAGCGTACCATCATCACAGCGACAGCGCAATGAGAGAAAACAAATCTCACAGAGGGGACTGGAATGGGCTGAACTTGTAAGATCCATTTCCGATGTTTAATCTGGATATCATTGAACAAATGCCATGTTCCTCTTGTTGAACATTTCTGTTGTCTTAAGGATCTACATTAAGACTTTGGTATAACGTTATTTAAGGGCTTGGTCCCTGGGGGCCCTCGAAGCCATGAACCCCAGGGACTGGAACCCTGGCATTGACAGTACATGGGCCCAAACCCTTGCTGCGAGAGCCCAGACCTTCAGTATGAGAGCCCAAAGAGCCTTTGGGATATATATATATATACATACACAATTTATAACATATTATTGCACTTTTCCCCATGTTGCTGGTTGCGTCTGGACTCCAATGTCCGGGATTCCCCCGGCTCCAAGTGACGATTGCTCCAAGCCATTTTTCTAGCCAGGACGGTAGGCCGGGAAATCATCCCCAAAGGCCATGACTTTCAGGATATGTTTGGGTGAGTTGATGGATGGGATTATTATGGATAGTTATTGTAGGTTATTATGGATAATAATTATAACCACTATTAGAGAAACCACTTATGGTGATTATTACCACTGATTGGTGGTTTGGAACATGGCTTTTATTTTCCATTTCATATATGGGGTAATCCTTCCCATTGACGAACTCATATTTTTCAGAGGGGTAGGTCAACCACCAACCAGATAATTTACCCAGGCCCTCGAACCTTTTACATGTTTTTTGCTGAGTTCGATCACTAGTGGATACAACAGTCGTACTTAAAGATTTTTGGTGCGTATTTTCGTATATTTGTAAATCTTTTGGTACAATGAGTCAAGCCGGAAGACACCTGACCCTGATGTTTTCATTGTGAAACCATCCAGGTTTCATAGGTCACTTAAAGGTTTGCTTTTATCCGCTGGGGTGAGCCTTTGCTTTGTAGGTTGGTGGGTGGCTAGCTATTGTGTGCCATGGGAGAATAGATGACGAAGCAGCAAAAATCAACCAGGATCAACTAGGTGTTGAAGTTTAAGTTTAGTTGATTCTTGCCCTAACGCATAGGAAACCAGACAACATGTGAATAATGTATAAACGTATATTATATAATGCACATACACACACATATATATATAATTATGTATATATATATATATGCACAACGTTATGGTTCAAATAAAATTTGAAGGGGCCCACCGACGTTTCGTAGCTTTGCTGAACTGCGAGACACGCGATTAGGTCAAGACGGCAGCAAAGAGACTCTGCACCATCTAGCATCCTCAGCCATCGCACCTGCCCCTTGGCAATGCATCCGGAGATCCCAAGATTCAAAATGATATTTACTGTATGACCCAATTGTAACTGGGATGTTCACCAGGAAAAATGAGAGGGCCGGTATGGTCTAGTGGATAAGACGTCAGACCCGGGTTCAATACCCGGGTTCAATACCCGGGTGCAACACTAGGCGGACAGGCGGGCCACTACCCCACCCCTGCAGTTAAGGGGATGAGCTAGGATGTGGTCCGTACAAACCTCTCTCACCAGGAAAAATGATGGGTTTATGAGTTAATGGGATGAGGATGGGACAATCATCTTTGAATTTGGATGAATTTTAGTGACGCTCACTGTGATGTCACTGGAATGATAGGAAGTGCACGGGGAACTATCCCCAACTGACTTTATTTCAGCATATTTCAGCTATTTTCAGGTCAGTGAATTGTGAGAATTCAGCCAGAGAATAGTGATCATTAAAAAACTATCATAGGAGTTTTACCAGTGATGAATGGATTTGGGCGTGTCTGAAAATTGGGGTATGCCGCAAGCAAATGTCATGAAATCATGGTGAACATGATGCTAAACCATGGCATTTTCCACACCATATACTATATATACCACACCTGATTGGTGGCTTCATATTTTTTTGACTTGTCAATCCTATTTGGGATGATGATGCCCACCCAACAGTATTATACCAGCTTAGGTCCCACTAGTCGCGACCGGGTCGGACTGTCATCTGACGCTGGGGCACGTGAGGACGGCAAGATCGTGGCAGCCAGCGAGATGACAGGCACACGCTTGTTCGATGTGAACGTGGAGCAACTTCAGGCAGGGCCTGACCGAGGTAGGTCAGGGCCAAGGATGGGACTGGGGGATTTGCGAAGACCATGGAAAAGTGATGAGATATGAAGAGTGACTGTCCAGAAACAGAAGGAACTGAAGTAACTTAAGACTTTTGATCACCACCTTTCTTGACCCCTTGTGCCTAGGTCCGCCGCACGTCGCTGCCCACGGAGATCAGCAGCTGTCCGATGCGCGCCATGTGCTTCGCGGGGCGCATGCTGGTGATGGCCACGTGGCACGACCATCGCATCTTACTGCTGGAGGCTTGGACAAAATTTTGTGACCATCCTGGATGGATTGGAGGGGAGAACTTATATGAATCTTATATGATAATGAGATACAACTATTCTGGTTGGTGGTGACCGGAACATGAATTCTATGACTTTCCATTCAGTTGGGAATGGAAAATCATCCCAACTGACTTTCACTCCATCATTTTTCAGAGGGGTAGGTCAACCACCAACCAGTATTCATATCTGCCATGGTCAAAACACGGGTTGTTTTCTTTCCATATTACCGCTGGAACCTTGGATGATCTTGATCACGTCATCCAGACGGATTGGTTGAACCAACGAAAGCGGTTGAATTTACGAGCCGGGAGATTTCCCGGCTCATAAAATGAAGGTTTAGGGATGAGAAAATCAACAAATGGAAGATCAACTATAGAGAATCATGTCATGTGAAGCTGTGAAGCCAGATCAAAAACCGTTTGCAGTTGGGGATGGTCTGAATCCCCACCCCTCCCAAAAAAAAACCTGGTGACTTGGGGATGGTGCAAACGGCATCGGGTTGACTATGGTTGCCGAGAAAACATGCGCCTCTGGTTTTTGTCCCATCTTCAGATGGGAATCTCCTATATTATATAATTCTCATCCTATCCCGTTTCAGAGTGGTTGATTGTTAGTGGTCAAAAAATGTTACCCTCTGGTAAACTAACATAACCATGGAAAATCATCATTTTCAATTGGTAAATCCACTTAAATTGTTATTTTCAATAGCTATGTTAAATTACCAGAGGGTAATCAATGATAAATAGTGGTCAACAGTTGCTTAATACCCCCTCACTGGATGGCCTGAAATATGTGGATTTATCCAATACCATTGTTTCGAAGGGGGTGTTTGATAGTCAAGGGGAAGGGATTGGTTGTGTTGCAAACATGGGTTTAAATAATCAAGGTAATCAAGGTCACAAACTGGGGCATCAGAAAAGTGCAAAGAAATCGCGTGGTAAATCCTTTCATGATTTGGGGACCTTTGTCAGAACTGCCCTCAGGATTGCAAGGACCAGATGCTTGGACTCAGTCCGGAGAACTCCGGGGCGGCAGTTGTTCTAGAGGCAGTTTTTCTTTTGCGTCTTTTTCCTGGTGTTATTTGGTGATGGGGATTTGACGTTGGCTCTAGAAATGAAGAGATGTGAAACCAGAAGCATTGATAAGAGACATATATGATATATGGAATGATAATCTTGCTTTTGTCCATAGTTTCTCCAACAAGCAACAAGAAAATCAGGACCATCGAACAGTTCGAACACTTCACATGTTCTGACCTTGGACAAGATGTCACCCCCAAAAGCCTGGACCCACCAAGAAGACCCTCCAATCATCGACTCTGGCACAGGACCACCCCATGGATGACGTCTGTATACCGTATACCTTGAGGTGTCCTTTCAATTCGGCAATGGATGATCATCCCCACATTTTTAGATGATCATCCCCACATTTTCTCTGATTTTCCCATTGCAAGTTTGGATTTTCCATTGCAATTTTTGAAGTAAAAATTGCCAGAGATAATGTATCGATTTGTTTTTTGCATGATTGAATTACCAGTGGGTGAAGGGTTAATCATCCATCAGGTAAACAACCGCCCTCTCAAAATCCATTGGCGACAGGAAAAGCCAATGGAAGAAGCCTCAAACGCTGGGCTAAATAGCTTGCAGCAGCCCAGTCGGTGGATACTGTATCCATATCATACCGAAACCATATAATATATGTATGGAACATGCAGACCTAGATTTGCAGGCTGTTTCTATTGAACATCACATGATTCCTATATAGAACATCCCCACTTGGCAATTTTTTCCACGGGGAAAATCCATGAAAATCCACCATTTGGGAAATTTATACGGACTATGTTTTTCCCACATGTCAGGTGAGGGTTGTTAGATTTTATGTCAGCTGTCCCGCCTCTCCTTATCCTTCTTCTCCTCCGCCGGACCTCAGCTGCAAAGAATCCCCCAAGATATACCAGATAGAATGCCAGATAGACTGTCAGAAAATATGTGAGATAAAATGTGAATGCCAGATAGGATGCCAGAAAATATGTCAAAAAATGTTACTTGGTGGGGATCACTCGAAGAGAGCAATTTATTTGCTCTTTTGAACGCCCTTAAGGTCTTAAGCAATTGCCAGATTATATAGGTTTCTATAAAACTCACACATCATCCATAGGATGCACCCCAAGAATCCTGCCGGTTGGTTCTCGCTCGCACCACCATGTCGGACGCCGCCAAGGACCATCATCACAACCTTTGAGGAGACGTAGTTTTTTTGTTTCTCTCGGGGGTAGTGACCTCCAAGATTTTAGAACAACTTGAACCGTGAAACAAACACACACACACACACGCAAACACACACACACAGATAGATATATGCTTATTTGTGTGTGTATATATAATATGTGCGTATGGGTTTCCTAAGAACGGGACAGGTTATCTGTTTAGCTACGTATCAAAGGTATAATTCAGCCTTTGTTGTTCTACTGGCAATGAAGATCTCCAAAAACTGGAGCTTCCCCATCCAAATCACAGAGTGTGGATGATGTTTGGGCCCCCCATTTTAAGAAACAAACAGCCGAAGAACAGAGGTCTTGATTGCCACATTCCACTTTCATATAGCTTAAACCCCCATGTGTTACATAGATTCTATGCACAGATGAACATCCCCCAGTTATTGTGGCTAAAATCCCAATGCTCATTGATGTTCATTGCTTCAATCACTCAATTTACATCTCCTTCCTATTGTTGGTCAAATCTCATGGTCTGTTGCTTATTCACTTCAAGCCCCAGTTTCGGCCCATCAAATCCCAATGTTCGTTGGTGAAACCCGCGACAATTTCTGCAGAAAATCAAATGATTTATTATCTGTATCTAAATCTTGATGCTGCTTGGTATTTTACAACCTATTTGATAGACTAAGTTTTCACGAATGTTTCATAATTGTAAAGATATGTAAAGACCAATCCTAGGTATATTTATGTTTCTTTATTATGTTTTTCCCAATCAACTATATTTATTTCATCACCATAATAATTATAGTTGCCCTCTGAACATCCTTGTATCACCATGATTCACCACAATTAAATTGACTATCACCAATCATAACATAGTTATCATCACCATAACTGAACATAACCGCGGTTCTGGGTAAATTATAACGACCTCATTGCGACCTCAGTGGAATCATCATTATTAAGGGGAATCATGCCCAAAATAGCCTCAATTCACGTTAGTGAAATATCATCATTTACCTAGGTAGTTCTCAAATGTGACCAACTCCATAAGCCAACACCAACCAACCATTAATCAACCATCAATGACAGTGCCATGGTGCTTGAAGAACTATAACTCATTGGATTGGTTTAGTTTAGTCGGTAAAATCGTAACCAGAAACCATGGGTCTTTACATGTTTTTAACATTAAAAAACTGGGGGTTTCCTGTAAGTTTTCCCTTAACCCATATGACCCATGGTGCTGGAATGTTTACCAACATTTGCCCGAACAAAATCACCCAGTTATATGATGTATGTAGGTCTTTATATACCAGCACCATGGAGCATATGGGTAAACCAATCCAATGACGATCATCACTACCCAATGGTTCACCTTGCCAGGAGCACCAAGCCCCAGTGACTCACCTCGTCGCTGGCGGCGCGGACCACGCGGAGTGGCTCCTCTCGGGCGACGTGGCGGGGGCCGTGCCTTGGATTGGCAGAGAAACTGGGGAAAAACGGAGGAAAATCCGAGAAAATGTGGGAAAACATCTAGGAGAATCTGAAGAGCCTGAAGAAACGGATCACCGTACTTAATTAGATGATTTTAAGTAGAATTTCGGTGACTGTCGGCGCAAAATGACGACCATGTACTTTGATATGATTTGGTGGCCCGCAAAACAGGTTTGGGAGTTCTTATCGGTTCTGATGTAGTTCATTATGTCGAGCTGTCTCCTCCACGGAAGTATGCCATCCCACTCTTCGGGACATGTTGAACCCTTTGGTGGTCCAACATGGTGATGAAAATTGAAGACGAATTTCCTGATTACATTTGATATTTTCCTATCCATTAACCAACTTCTAGTTTGTGTGCATCATTGTTGGTTGGTCACATTTTAAATGTTAAATCCCTACTACGTTTGATACATTTTGTTACCTAATTCCCGGCGTTTGCTTGATAGCAGCCTCTGCTGTTTCAAACATGTTTTCTGCGTTCAGTTTTCGGTGAAACCTTGGTAAGGATCAACATTTTGGTGAAACCACCATATGAATCCCAAAGATTCGTTGAAAGACCCCGGAATGAAATTCTAATTTTCTTGGTTGATCTACCCACTAACACTCACAAAGAACAACATGACAATTTGGTTGCTAATCCCCAAACATTGGGTTCCAAAAGTGATTATATGAGACCATGATGAAACCCATTGACCTTGTCACGTTTTAGCATTTGATGTTCCAAACTTCGATTATTCGAAAAACGATGAAAAACAGATAATCATGACCAATTTTCCATACTGTTTTGTTATTCGGTCGATTTTTGATATATGTTTTTTTTGTGTGCAAACTTATTATGGTTCAATGGTTGTCCATATATTTTTAATTGGCGAATCCCACACAACATGTGCCAAAACATTTGAAGAAATTTCCACATGTTTAAAATATGTACACATGTTATACATATTCCGCATAATTGTCCTTCATATTTTTCATTGACATGTAATTTACATGTGGTGAATTCCATATATATATATAATTATATATTATCCATGTTTTTGCCATATATACACATACATACATTATAAATTTATATTATATACTAGATATTATTCTATATTTTTAAATATATATACATATATACAATATAGTATGTTATATCATGTCATATCATATTAATTTATATTTTATTATGTTTTGATTTTACTATATTATAAAGTAATATATTCTATTATATCATATCATATCATATTGTGTTATATTAAATTATATATATTTTTTTTAATATTACTGTATATATATATATATATGCATATATATTTTTCTATATTGATTGATTTATTTTTTAGTTACATAATACTATATAATATAATATTATATTATATTTTAATATTTATATATATCCCACATACATCACACAAATCAGATATTCTCTATATCATTTCCATATATATATGCACATATGTCCATATATTTCCACATATTTTCACCATATATGGACATATCATACATATATATGTGTAAATATATACATACATTTTCACATATTTACATACATATGGCAAAATATCCACATTTATATCTTTACGTAATATATATATATATATAGGTAATTTAACGTAGCTATTGAAAATGACCATTTATAGTTGTTTTACCCATTAAACATGGTGATTTTCCATAGTTATGTTAGTTTACCGGAGGGTATATACATACATACATACCATATATTCTCCAGATATTTTCCACCGGATATGGCTGGAGGTGAAGATCTGGGACCTTGATGCGCTGGCCTTGCACTGCTCCGTGCCCACGGGCGAGGAGACGGCCACGTGGCACTTTTTTTCAGGTCGTGAAAGACCTGGAAACATCTTTTGGCAGGTGACATCCCAGAAAATGTCCTGAAACCCTTGGTGGTTTAACTTGCAAAAAACCAGCAGAAAACCTGAGAATCTGCAAGTTTTTGCAGGTCAAAGCGCGGTTTTGTCCACGTTCATCAACGATTTTGGTAGTTTAAACCACCATTCTTCGCCGCCCAGGTCACCGCCTTGGCTTTCGACGCAAGTGGCCGGAAGGCACTGCTGGTCAATGCCCAGCACCAGCTGAACGCGGCCCGAAGAAATCGCGGCCAGAATCACATCCGGTCCCATCCCCAACATTAAACATGCCCTTAGACACCATGTTTTTCTGGGAATTTCATGGATTTTCCTGTTTTGAGGCCATAGAATGGGGGTGGTTTTATTTCGAGGATGGGTATATGGTCTTCCCCAAATAGATGCGAAAGTTCGTGAGTTCTGGGTTGATGAGGCTTGCTATAGGCATGGCATAGTAGATCATAGTAGCTGGTGGACGAGTCATGATAGGTGGGGTATAGTCTATGAACCATAGGCAAAATATAGTCAACATATAATCAGTGTTTGTTGGATTATAAACCACTATAAACCACCACTGGTATTATGAAACCTTACAAATGGGGTTTATCCAACAAACACTGAGCACAACACCTTGCGGCACTTTGGGTTGATCCCCTGAGAGAGCAGGGTGAAGGTTAAACCCAAGATGTAGCACCAAAAATGATAGATATCTTCTTCAGTCGGATTGGATATAAAAAACCTATGAAATATATATATATATTAATATATATATATTTTATCTGCATCAACCAGAGTTTTCATATTACTTTGACAAAAATTCTTGGATTTACATGGTCTGATCCAACTGTGGGTATAGTTGGATCCCTCGCTATCTGATAGTGTGAAGGGTCACATCACACCCCATGATTGTCATTGTTTTCTGTCTGTAAATCATGGTAAAATCATGGTAAAATCCCCAGTAAGCCACAATTTATGTTGGTTAAATCATGTTAGGTCCAATGAACCTCCCATTCTTTGATGACAATCCCAGAAAAAATCCCTAGCTTGGCGTTTTATCCCCATTTTGACATAGCAAAAAACCCATGGCAAGCTATTGAATCCCCTCCCGGCTCAGGTTTTCGACATTGAATCCCAATCCTTAGAACAGCAGCTGAAGATCCCGCCGCGCTATCTGCCGCCGCATGCCCGCGCACCTTGGGATCCAATGGGATCGCGATGTTGCGATGTTTGGGCTGGGGTGACTCAGAATTTTCGGGGGGTAAACGGTTAGCCTCCAGGAATTTTCGGTGGAAGAATTCCACCAGATATTTAATGTTGATATTATAGGGTTTGTCAACGGTGATGCAGGATTTCGTTCGCAGTAGCTGTTGAAGATGGACTTTTGTAGATGATTTCCCAACAAGAATGGTGATGTTCCATAGGTATGTTAGTTTACTAGAGAGTAAGTGGCAGTAAGTGGCATGTTTATTCCAACCACAATGAGGGTTTAGCCAAGAAACATTGGGGGTTGGCTGATAGTTGATAAATGGGCGACAAACATGTGGAGTTAACTAACCTAAGATTGGGGTGAGATTGATAAAACATGATGCAGTAAACCAACTTGATTTTATTTGCAGGACCCGCCCAATAGATAGAACAGTTGAACAAAAGATCGCATGGATTCTCTTTATCCAGTAGTTTTCAGGTTTCAACTGTTCCATCAAGTTCGGACATGCGAACTATACAATAAATCTCTCTCTCTCTATATATATATTATATCTATACAATGTCTTACATTATAATGATTACGTTAGCGCGACAATATGATATAATTAATATGTACATGACCTGGTGTATGTAGATTATATCATGTAGTTTGCGTTTGATGTGCTGATCATTAGACCCCCAATTGGGACCTCCATTTTCACATGCTATAGGCTTCACATATACCACTACCATGTTGCATCGTAAGCTAAGGGATAGCCTACGTTGAACAATCACCCGGGAAGCGTGAGTGATATATATATATATGTTCTGTTTTGTAAGTGAGCTAATCATTAGTTGAACTAACAAAGCCATTTCTCTATTTTTCAAATCCACCATGGTTTACCTATTTGTTCCGCAACTCCACCTGTACGATCCTGTACGTTGGTCCTTTCTATTTTCCTCAAGGCACTTTTTTTGTGTTGGCGAAACGCCTTTTTTCGTTGAACCAACGTCCTGCTTCCTTGGTTCCCAAGGTCTGTGGTGTTTGCTCCATCGGTGCTTCAAAGCTGCTACTGTGGGGCCACGGCTTCCTACTGGCGGTATCTCAGCCAGATTGGTGGGTTTATACCCTCTGGTTATTTAACGTAGCCACGGTATAGATGGCCCATTTATAGCTGATTTACCAGAATTTACCAATTAAAAATTGTGATTTTCCATAGTTATGTTAGTTTACCGGAGGGTATACCTCTACTCAACATGGTGTGGTACACCCTTGATGCCACAAATCTACCGGGGCTGATACAACCCATAAAGATGGTGATTTGTTGGATGGCTTATTGTTGGGTTTACTACTTGATTCAGCATGTGAAACAGCACCTGAATCGATGGGATTTTCGGGATCCAATTGATGGAGGTACGTAAACGTACCATATTTCTGGCCATGTTTTCTAGGATTCCCTGAAATTTAGGCCTGAAACATAGGCCTCTATTCTATGGTAGGTAGCTCCAATAAATCGCTTCCTGAAAATGGAGCCATCGCCTGGAGCCATCAACCATCAACGGTTAAGGAAAGGGCGATTCACCCACGACCGTTGAGCGATGATGATTTCCAGTTCTCGTTCTTTCAGGTTGTTGGTTCAGTTGGTTCAATATCGCTTCAATATCAATATCAAAATTATACATATATCATTGTAGAGTATATAATAATGATACTGTATTATAATGTATAATGTAACAAATTAGGATTAGTAAAGCATGGTTTATGAGCTAGGGCTTATGAGCTAGGGCGGGGCTCCCCAAATAGTGATCATCTGATACTTAAATGATCTTAAATGATAGCCGGCCCAAATAAACAGTCGTTTGGGGTGTATTGATCCAGGGTCGCCATCTCCGATTAGGCCGCCTATTCCATAGGGTTTTCCTCACATGGGGATCCCATCAGCCAGGGGATCCCTGTACCATCTGGTTATTTAACAGTTCGCCATGGAAAGATCCACCCATTTTTAATAGGTAAACCCAGGTAAACCATCTATTTCTATGGGCCATGGCTTCCATGGCTATGTTAAATAACCAGAGGGTACATATATAAATCATATAACTTTAAATAAATTTGCATCATTCTACATCATTATATACCATTATATATATCATTATTTATAATTACACACCCATTGTATTCCCAAAAGCTCTACCCTAAAATCACCATAAAATGCTAGCAATTTTCATGTCCGTCAAGGCCTACCTCGACAAAGACAGCCCTCGCTGGCAGACGTGGCCGGAGCGCTTCATTTTGGGCTTGGCAGCCCTGTCAGGACCATGGCTACACCCAACGAAGAGCACCAAAGGTGCCAGAACTGGGTACCAGGTGATGATTTTTGTTGGCTTTGAAACTCAAGGTTTTTCGGTGGGTTTGGGTTCATGGATGTTTATGTTCATGTTCATGGATGTTGATTTCTATGTTGGTGTTTGGCCATTTCATAAAATGATAAACCATGATAAACCATGATGGACCTCCGGGATTGACCCACTTGACCCACTCAGCCAGGTTCGTGCCCGCAGAAATCCACCGACACCGTGGCGATTGCTGTGCAGGTCACGCGGAAAAAAACATGCAGTTCGAATTTGGAAGAAGTGCTGTCATGGCGATATATATATATATATATCACGAATCCATTTGAACACCAAGTCTGCCAAGTCACTATGTTTCCAGATATGAATTTGATTGGCTACTGTACCTTGTTTAACCTTTTTTCAGGCCAAACCTTGCTTGAGTAGCTTGATTGTTCCACTTCTTGTGCCATCCGGGATGTAATTATGCTAACCAGCGAAGAGCCAAGTTGTTTCGAGCTTAGTTAGTATTTAACCCATATGCTGGAGGCTGCATGTACATTACGTATGCATACATATGCCATTTTACCTGCATTTGATCCGCTTTGAGGTAAATGTTGGTCGATATTGCAGCACGAGGGAGCATGTGGGCAAACTTGACTATGTGTAGCATAAAAGAATTAGTCGTCATCATCATCATCATCATCACCATCACCATCACATTCTTCATTTTAATCTGCATGAAGATGCCCCCCGGCTTAGCTAAGTTGGTTTGTTAAGTAGGTTTCTTGTGGTTAACTATAGGGTTTATATGGCCTATAATGACCTACTTCTCCCAGATTCCCGCAATGGATTGTGACAATCCCCAATAGATTGGGCAGTATATTCACCTACAATCATCAACCAACATCCCATTAATTAAACCCCATTCAATGCCATTTAAATTCCATCAAATATGCATGACATTTATCTCCATGTTTGTTGCTTAACTCACACTTTTCCCATGGGTTTACTCCCCATTTCTCTTGCTTAAAATCAGCATGAACAACGGGGGCCCCTTGATTTGTCCCCTCGTAGGTCTCGGAGGCGGAGACGCGAGAGCTGCTTCCGGAACCCTTCGAGCGCAAGAAGTACGGCAGGAAGACGCTTGGCTTTGCCATGAATGAATGTGAATGAGATATTTTCAATAGCTACATGTCATTCGGAAATAATCTAATATGGGTAAAAATGCCAAAAACAATCCCCCAAATCACCATAAATAGGTGGTATAAACCATTCCCAAATGGGTGGTTTATTATTGTTTTACCCTCTGGTAAACTGACATTGCGAACTGGAAAATCACCATGTCTATTAGGTAAATCAACATAAATCAACTATTTCCATGGCCATTTTCAAAAGTTATGTTCAATTTATCAAAGGGTAAGGGAGATTTTCCGAGTCGATCTGTAGTGATTTCATGGGGATTTCAATGGGGATGAAAAGTGGGACATGGATGGCGTTGTTTCGGTGATTTGGCATGTAAAATCCCAAGGTAAAATCCACTGCAATCGGGGGGTGGAGGGGTTTTTGCAGCAAATCCACATCAAACCCAAGGAGTGGAATTTTTGTGAACAAACATAGGTGTTTCGTTGAATCTTTCAGGGATTTTCATGGAAATATTAAATCTCAGATGATCTCAATGGATAACATTTTTTTGGATAGCCCACTTATATTCACAGAAAATTCACTAATATTTTTTTTTCAGGGATTTGCGCGAATTATATGTAGATCTGAGTGGATTTGTTTCACGGAATTTAATAATGCATGGGTGGTTCTACATTCCAAGTGTAGGGAGACAGGCTAGAGATTTGGAGGATGTCCATTTTTTCCTTCGACCCTACAAGGAAATTAACCTATACAGTATCTAAATGGACATTTAAAGTCATGTACTACCAGTCATGTACTATATATTATGGATGGCTCTAAGGCTCTAAGGCTTCCGGGTTCCAAATGTCTTCATTTTGTAGCCCAAAAAATGGGATCATGGCCCCAGAGGTCATCTACCTTTTTCAAATGGGAATGATAACTGGGATTACCAGCATGGATTTTCCAGAGTTTTGTGGTTGGATTGGATTGAAGACTTGTTTAGTCTGTAGTCGAGGTTTGGTAACTTACTATCTTTCTTGCGACATCTTGTGACAGACGGCAAATTCGATACACAAGTTTTGGGCCAGTCTGCCATTCTGGTGTTTCCAAAAAAATTGGTGTCTCAGGAGTCTCAGGGCATATAAAAAATCAGCCGTTTGTGAAAACCCTTAAAACTTGGTCGTCAAAAAATTGGTCGTTAAAATTTACCCCGCTGCAGGCGCAAAGCCGGGAGCTGAAAAGAGCGCAGCTCTGCCGATCCGGCTGACCACCAGGTTAAGCCCTCGCGGAGGTTGACTGGGTCACAACTGTTATGGCAACATGGGTTACCATTTAGAGGCCTGTGATGCCAATGTAATAATACATATTATATACATAATTAATTATATACTATTATGTTTACTATTGTTATTATATTCATTTCTGTTTAAGGATGATTATCCACACTGCTACTGGATTATGTTTTTTACCCGCAGTGACTTGTTTTCCTTACCGAAGGTTTGGAGATTCCCGAAGTGGCTGGATGACCACTCCCCAGTTTACTGGTGTTCCATGAAAAGATTCTGGGAAGACAACAAAATCCACTTGTCTACCCTCTCATCATTGAACATAGCTGACATAGCTGTGGAACATCAAAAAGGTTAATCATTTGAACTATAAAATGGAACATTTTATGTCGCTATAATAAACTATAGAGTGTATCGGAATGTTTGTATTAACATGCTATTTTGATGGGTATACCATGGCATACCCATTTTTAAGCACCCCCATAAGCGGGGGTACAGATATCTAAAAGAGCTAGCTATTTCTAGCAAAAAAGGAGCTAAAGAACCCAAGCATTCTGAAAAAAATGGGGTCAGTAGAATGCCAGAAAATTGACAGATCAAAATTAGGCTTAACATCCAGAACTGAGGATGACCTGCGAGCCTTAAGATATGACCTCTCATTTGGTGACAGCCAACCCTGCGAGTGCTCTTTGAAAACTGTAGGAGTGGGTCCTCGAAATGAGGACATCGCTGCGGCATTCGCTTCAGTCGAAAAAAAACCATGGCGATCTACAGATTCGCCGTGCCCGTGCAGTCCCAGAGTTCCAACATGCCCAGACAAGCAGTTCCATCCCCCATTGGTCTTAGACACCCCCAGGGAGAAAAGGGACATGTCTTGTTGGGGATGACACCAATATGACACCACATGCCATCGACCACGGGGTCTCGGAATGAATGGGCCGTGGGCCGTCCTTTTGCTCTGAGCTGAATCGCTCTGGGTTCTCCGGGTGACATGGGGGGACTCGATGGCGTGTCGCGACGT